GTTTTCTAAAACCTTTGCATTTTCAATCAATTTGTCATTTCATCAAATAAATTTCAATTTATCAATATAAAAAGTATAAACAAAAATTTGAAAGGGTTCAAAAGAGGAAAAAAAATAAAGCTCGGTTTTTACGACTCATTTTTTATGTGATGTATTATCTCAGTGTGACATCGTTATTTCAGTCTGTTTTGATTTGGTGCGCGAACCCGGAAGTGTTCTTATATAAAAACGAGGGAAATGGGCGAGTTATTACCCCATTTATATTCGTATATATTTAGTTGAGACATAAATATCTTATCATTCTACTAGTTTAAGCGTGAAAGCGGCAAAATGTTTTATAGCTACTCGAAAAGAAACGATATTTTATTTTTCTTGTTCACAATAAGTAGCATTTAAGAAATGTTTTTTTAATAAAATTTATTCAACAAAGTCTCTTTTGAATTAAAAGTTTTTAAAATCCTTTTTAAAAGTACCTAGTATTACCAAAGGTTGAATAAAGTTAATAATATTATTTCTAAAAAAAATCTGTTTGAATTAAGTTCACAATAAACCTGAAAAATAGGTTAATAACAAGTTTATGTATTACGTATAAAAATAAGAAACAAAAACTAAGAAAGTAGAGCAAATTAAGAAATTATGTAACTATTTATAGTAGGGTATCTTGATGAATGGTTTGGATCAATATCAACAGAGAGTAAATTATAATTTATGCCGGGTAGTTAATGTTACGTGCATGGTTTGAAATTTTATTTTAAGCTCGACTTGAGTACACAAAGCTAACGCAGCTAACATTATTAATGACTTTAACGTTAACATAAAATAAATATTTAGATAGAGTATAAAGAAAATAGTCGCGAAATCGATAATTTCTAATTTAACCAATTTAAATATAACAAAATAAACAATTTCTTAGCAATTTTATCAACAGTATCAAATAAATTCTGGTATTAACTGCATTTTTTCACTTTATTATTATTATATATCATCATGAATAGAGTTATTACCACTTTAATACAAATTGTTACTTCTTTGTTGATATTTTTATTTATTTAGATTACAGCATTAAAAACTAAAGCAGCTAACGTGATCATATATCACGTATAATTGTTAACGGATACACGAAACACATAAATTTCCATCAAGGTATTTTCTGCAAATCCGTCGTAAGCTGTGTGTACATACGGCACTGTGGTGGATTAGTAGAGTAAATTGAATACATTAAATGCAGAGTGTGATCGATTACAGCAAATATCACAACTAGAGATGCGTGTCAACCCCACCTCTAAGGATTTCCAATACAAATGCTATAAATGTAGTAATAATATACAGGGTGTCTCACGTAACTGGTTCGTTAGAACTTTTTTAGGTTCCACTATTCATAGAGGTTTGAAATTTTGGTAGCATAGGTTGTTCATTCTAAACTTTCAATCTAAAATATTTTCAAGATGGCCACCACTTCCGTCTACCGGAAGTAGACCACAACTTCGTTATTTTAAATGGAATGCTATAGTTTTTATTACACTTTTCAATTATACGTAAAAAAATATGTTGACTTTGATAAAAGTTGTTGGTATCTACCATTTTTTGTTTTCGAGTTATTTTGATTTTAAGCTTTTTATGGCAAATTTCACCATGCTCTTTAAAAGCCTATATCTCAGTTAACGTTCATTAAAAAAACCTCTAAATTGGCACGATTACTCTTCAGATGTTGCCAAATAGATTGCCATTTCTTGTATCAGAGTATCTTATACAGGTGGTCAAAAATTGAATTACCGTTTCTCCATATTCAATGGCTAGAAAGTCGAAAATTTTAAATGGAATACCCCGTATTTTTTTACCCTATCAGAAAGGGAATTTAATTCTCTACAAATTATCTATAAACATTCCTATACCTATTTATTGTAGTTTCCCTGATATTGGGACATTAATCAAAGCATGCACGGAATGCGGGAAAACGTTTGATTTTTTTATTAGAAGGCAA